AGAATCAGAATTTATTTGGCAAAGGATTCAGCTCTCGTTCCGACATGTTGGCTGCTCTAGTTACCATGGCGATCTTGAATCCTGCACCTCGAGGACCCAGCATGTTCCCAGCGGCACCCTGCAGTCCTCCAGGATGATGTTGGCCGTGGACGTGGCTTTGATGCCCAGCTTGTCCTCCTTCTTCCCCAGAGAGAGGCCCGGGTGAGGCATCGGGATCAGGAAGGCGCTGATGCCCTGCAGACACAACGAGGGCACGCTCTGTGGTCACACTGCGTTCTGAGTGTGTGTGTGTGTGTGTGTGTGTGTGTGTGTGTGTGTGTGTGTGTGTGTGTGTGTGTGTGTGTGTGTGTGTGTGTGTGTGTGTGTGTGTGTGTGTGTGTGTGTGTGTGTCTCACCTTGTGTTTGAGCTTCTTGTCCGTGGTGGCGAACACGACGGTGGCCGCGGCGTCCCAGCTGTTAGTGATCCAGGCTTTGGTTCCGTTCAGCACCCACTCGTCTCCCTCCTGACGAGCCACCGTGGACGCCGCGCCCGCGTCGCTGCCGTTACCTGGAGGAGACGTGCAGATCAGTTTAGAGACACAGGTGGCTAACTTTATTCTAAAATGGCGTCTTTAAGACTCCTCAGTTTTTATCCCTCGTCTCATTAGGGGCGTGAACACGTGCGTGAGGCGTGGCGTTTACCCGGCTCGCTGAGGGCGAAGCAGCCCACCTTCTCCCCGGTGGTGAACGGCGTGATCCACTCCGTCTTCTGTTCCTCTGTGCCGAACTTCAGGACGGGTCCGATGTAGAGCGACTGCGAGGAAGAAGACGCGCACAGAGGTAAACACGACAACGTCACAACACAAATACACGTTGCTATGGCGACCGACCGGGCTCACGTTGTTAACGGACACCACGCATCCCGTGCTGGCGCAGCCTCTGCTGATCTCCTCCACCGCCAAACTGTACGCCAGGTAGTCCATCCGGCTCCGCCCAGCTCCTCCGGGACCTCCATGGCCATCACGCCCATCGCTCCCAGCTCCTGAACCTGAAAGAGAACTGTTTGTTTTTCCTGAAGTATCCAAAGTATCAAAACGATATTTAAAAAAAACGACCCCGAACGTTTGGGGCGCAAAACGGGCCTCATGATCGTCTGGTGTGTAGCCAGCAGAGGTGTAAAGAGTATTTTAGTGTTTTTAGTTTTATTATTCTGAGGCTGTTTAGTCTCAAAGAAACCTGAGATGAAAGATAATCCACTTATTGTTTTAAAATTAGCCTTTATGAGTTTAAATATTAGATGTTTTATTCTCTGTTTGTTTACCTCTTAGCTCCTGAAGCTTCTGACTGAATCTGTTTGGTTTGAAGTATTTATTTTCACACATCTGAGATGTGTTAAATTACAGCAGCTTATAACACCCAACTTCCTCATGTCTTTTTCAAAATAAAAGCACATCAGAGATGGCAATTAGGGACTTTTATTGTGAAAAACTTTCCCGAACTAAATGTGTTTATCGCTCGGAACTTAACAGAAAACCTACTTAAGTAAAAGTACAGATTTTAAAAACGACTTAAAAAGTCGTAAGTACAGCAAAAAACTACTCAATTACAGTAACGTGTGTGTGTGTGTGTGTGTGTGTGTGAGTGAGTGTGAGTGTGAGAGTGAGTGAGTGTGAGTGTGTGTGTGTGTGTGTGTGTGTGTGTGAGTGTGTGTGTGTGTGTGTGTGTGTGTGTGTGTGTGTGTGTGAGTGTGTGTGAGTGAGTGAGTGAGTGAGTGAGTGAGTGTGAGAGAGTGAGTGAGTGAGTGAGTGAGTGAGTGAGTGAGAGTGAGTGAGTGAGTGAGTGAGTGAGTGTGAGAGAGTGAGTGAGTGAGTGAGTGAGTGAGTGAGTGAGTGAGTGAGTGAGTGAGTGAGTGAGTGAGTGAGTGAGTGAGTGAGTGAGTGAGTGAGTGTGAGTGTGTGAGTGAGTGTGTGTGTGTGTGTGTGTGTACCTGTTTCAGGGGAAAGGCATGCTCTCTGTCTAGTCTGCCAGCGATGGGGGTCAGTTCTCTGTCGGCGAAGTCTCTGCAGGTTTGTCTGAGGATCTGATGAGTGTCCGGTAACTCGGCCAGCGCAGAGAAACTGCGACAACCGCTGAGACACAAGCCCAGAGCTGAGGGAGAGGAACAGAGTCCAGACACTGCATACTAATTCAAATGATTCACAGACAACTGAACGTTGTGCTGGCTTCACATGCAAACAGGAAGCAGCAACAACTGTCAGGTTTTTCAAATTAAAAGGTTGAAACTGAAGTGTAAGAGTTGTACTTTTGATCTCACAGAAGGAGATGCTCTATCTCATCTGAACGTCGTCATGGAGACGATTTATGGACACTTCTTACAGTTCTGTCTGAACGTCTTCATAGAGAGACTTTGTGAGCTGATAACATTGAAAGCACCCAACGATCCGTCTTCATCGGTGACATGGATCAGCGCCGTCAGTCCGACATGTAAATTACATCAATATCAGACCAGATACGGATATTTGATCCGATCTGTCACTTCTCTTCAAATAATCCAGCGATGCAGAGACAGTCTGGCTCACTGATCGTGTTCACATCATGTGAGAAGACATGTTTGTTTGGTTCATGTTGTGATGGGGTCAGTTTAGGTCTGAAGATAGAGCGAGTAGAGATAACGCTTCAGCTGTTACTGATATATTATCAATAAGCTGGTGTTACGTTTAGAAACACGGAGAGGATAGTTGGCAGTGTAATATAACAGCTCTTATGTTTGTGTCACAGGGTGCTTCACATTAGCCTCAACTTTCTGACGGTGAAGACGGTGTGCCTTAAGGGTCAAAATGGTTATTAAACGCGATTAGCAAAGATAAATATATTAATATTTAACTTTTCGTCACTTTCTCTGCATTTTTCTTTATTCCGTTATTGCTGCTCTTTTCTCCCACTTTCCTCGAGTCCTTGAACGCCTCACATGCTCACCGGTTAGCTTTATCTTATTTAGGTGAAAGGTTAACCTCACTTTCAGTCACCTTCGTGTCACTTTGACAGGTTTAAAACACCTTAAAATAAAGAAGAGCCGGTCTTAAAGTACCTGACAACTATTTCAAAATAATGTCTTCACTGAATTTTAGTCTGTCAGTAAATGTTTTGAAGCTAACTGGCTAACTTGTAACCTTACCTAACCAGCCGAGGAGCTAGCTGTCAGAAACAAGGTAACCATTAGCTGACGTCACGTCTTCTTACAGCTACGTCACTTTTTCACCGACTGTAGTTCGGGTTCATGCGGTCCTTCACGAGAGCATTTCACTCATTATTAGTGTTTTTATTCTTAATGTTCTCACCTCTTCTTGCTCTAAACAGAGCCGCCATGTTGTCCTCTTCTCAACCTGCTGCAGCTACAACCACTGATGACGCAACATGCTGCCTTCACGTGCTGTGGGAAACCTGTGCGTCGCTCTGTGGGAGCACTGACAGTGACGATACTTCACCTTAATCCCGGGAAAACGTCATGAGGTTAAGGAAAGATGTTAGGAGAAGTCATAAAGGACTTAGGGAAAGGAGATCTCGTTGCTCTGACAATCCGACCACATTTCCACTTCCGGTGAAATAATAATAATGATAATAATAATAATAATAATAATGATAATAATAATAATAATAATAAATTAGATTTATTTAGCGCTTTTCTAAATACTAAAAGACGCTTTGACAGGAAACAACAAAAACAAAGCAACAACTAAGAGAACAATAATCCGGATCACCACGAGGTTGGGATTGAAATAAAATAAATATAGACTACAAGTAAGAAAAGTGAAACCATCAGCTTCCTGTCCAATCAGAAATCAACACCAACATCAATATGATTGGATGAAATGAATTGTTACATTAATGTAAGATATAACCTACACATAATGTTTTAAACATACAAATGTACAGCAGCACAAAGCAAGAGAATGAAATCTGTTGAATCAAACATCCTCTGATAAAAATGTCTCTTTTATCTCTTTACGATCATCGTTAATGTTCCTGAACGGTCGGATGAGCGACTCGCTTTAAATGTTGTGGGGCGTCATATCTCATCTCCTTTCCTAAAGGATGGTCCAGTGTATCCTAAAGGAGGTTATAAAGGAAGCATTGACCCACCTTTCCTTAACTTTTAGAGAATTCAAACGGCTCTTATCATGGCCGCCACTTAAATGCTTCATTTCACTCAGTGAGGAACCTTCCTAAACAAAAAAGACAATTCCAACACACCCACAGTCTGGGCCAGGGGCGTGTCCAGACTGTTTGGACTGCGGTGGCCCAACTAGTGGTGCAGTCCATTTTATCAAAAATCCTGTTTTTCACTGAAGTTAGTAGATTATTAGCAGCAGCTGAAGAGGTCCCTGTGCTGCCTTATAACCCATTAATTCCTGCCAGAGTTTGGCTGGTTGTCTGTCTCGATATGTCAGCCTGTGATTGCAAAGCGACCAGTTTAAGGTGTAGCCCCGCCTCTCGCCCCAATGACAGCTGGGATTGGCTCCAGCCCCCCGCGACCCCAACGGGAAAAGCCAGATAGATAATGGATGGACTTTGATATCATCATGTAAACATATTTGAGTGTTCTTGCCTTTTTAATAATCATTTTCTGTATTTCATTGTTAGCTCTTGCCCTCTCACCTCTTAATTTACGTTTTATTTTGTATCTGCCTGATTTAATCCGTAGCGGCTCTATTACCGTGGCTAAATTAAAAATGAGGATTCTCCGTTAAGGTTGTGAATATATAAAGAATGACGATCACTGCACAAGAAATACAGCAAATATATCAAAACTTTATGTCACTCTGAAGTTAAAAAAATCCCACAAAAATACTTTATGTCATACCAAAGAAGAAGCAAAACTTTAAAACCAATCAGTTTAAGTTACAGGTCTGATTTAAGGTCATCACATACACATCACTAATTCCTAAAAGAATATTATCCCAACATGTGAGAGACTTTTCAGAAGAAAAAAATAAAGGTAATCCAGTCAGGGAGGTTTGAGGTTTTTCACAACATGTTTATTTTTTAGCACCATAAAAAGTCAGTGAATGTTGTCCCGTGTTTATGCTCTCATTGTTTCTTTCCTTTGGGATGGAGCGTCGATGGTGGAAATTTAGGAAAGTTTTGGTAGTGGCCGTTTGGAGAGATAAAAAGCTGAGAGGGGCTGCATGGCTACCGCAGCACCAGACGGCCGGCAGGTGTGGTTCACTTGCTGGCGGAGGTGAAGGTGAAGCATCCTCTCTGGTGGAACTGCATGTCCCTGATACGACGAATGGACTGGATCTGGGGCTGGAAGGCGCTGAAGTCGTTGTAGTGTCTGTAATCACCGCACTCAAACAGGTACTGGTAGCCTCTGTATCCAGGGTACTGGTAACCCACAAACCTGAGAACACACGGGTGAGAGACGTTAATACAGAGGGCCACCTGAGGGTTCCCAACGGGTCTTGTGGTTGTTGCTTTTGCATTGGATTCTTTTGAGACTAGAGGTCCTTTAGGAGGTCATTGAGAGGGATCCAGATGGCCATGAGGTTTATTGAGCACTGATGGGGTTTAAAGGTCAGTTTGGTGGTCCTACATGTGGTCTGAGCTTCTGGAAGTCAAAGAGGTTAAGAGGTCATAGTGAGGTTCTTGAGTTGGATTTTAAGAGGATCTAGGGGCGTCCGAGGCAGTGTAGAGGTCCAGGAGGTTCGGTGGTCATTGGTGAGGTTCTGGATCAGTTAAGGGGATTCTTTCTGTTCTTAAACTGGTGAGTCACCAAAGTCTTTTAGTGGTCATTGGAGTGGTTTAAGTTGTTCAATTCGCCTTTTCAAACTTTCTAGTCCATAATTTTAGAGGTTATTGGGGGTTGGCAATGTTCTTGAGGTGGAACTGGGTGCCATTAAAGGGTTCTAGTAGTTACTGTGGAGATGTAGGGGGGCTTCATGGGGCTGTGGTTGTTACCAAACTCATTAAGAGGTCAATGGGGAAGATCTACTTTCTATAAAAGGGTTCTTGGGTTCATGCATACTGTTGTTGGTGATTCAAGAGGTCTAAGAGGACTGTGGTGGTTTAGGCGTCTTTAAAGGGTTTTTGGTTGTTACCAAACTCATTGATTTCAGGTTTCCTTAAAGGGTTTGAGTGGTCACTTGGGCGCTTTAAGGGATCCTTAAAGAGGTTCTGATTGTTACTTGGGGTTTGTATGGACTGCCCTGGGAAGTTCAACTGATCTGATGGAAATGTAAGGGTCATTAAGGAGGTCATAAGAGGATCTAGTGGTCCCCTAGGCAGTGTAGAGGTCCAGGAGGTTTAGTGATCGATCGATGAGGTTCTAGAGGTCAACTGGGCGGTACTATGTGTTCTGAAAACTGTCATAATTTAAGACATTCAGTGGCCATTTGAGAGGATCTAGTTTTGCTAAAAGTTAGTCTTTTGAACGCTTCTAGGAGTCCATGATGTTGAGAGGTCATCAGGAGGTTCCCAGGGTCATCGAGGAGTAACTAGGTGCCCTGAAAGAGGTTCTAGTCCTGAGTAAGAGGGGTGTAGGTGTCCTTAAATGGTGGTAATTGTCACCAGACTAATTGCAGGGTCATTTTGGAGTTCTAGGTGTCCTTAGAGGTAACCAGGGCAGTTGGGTCTTAAACAAAGGTTCACTGGTCACAAGTCCTTGGTGAGGTTTTTGGTCATTGGTGATGTTTTAGAGGTCATTGAGAAGGTTTCCTTTAAGGGGTTCTAGTGGGGACTTGGGAGGGTCCATGTGTCCTCCACTAAGTTATTCTGCTCACTGGAGAGGTTAAATATGTTCTAGTGGTTTATGGAAAATATTGGAGGATCATTGAGGAGTTTCTAGAGGTCCCATCAGGAGGGTCCTTCACTGGGTGGTGTTGGTAAAAAGGATTTTGGTGCATTAAGGCGATTCAAGAGGGGCCTGAATGGAGGCTACAGAGGACCGATAGCCTCCTCCTAAGTGACCACAAAGAGGGAGTTTTCAAGTTCTCTCAGAGGGTCTGGTGGTCTAGAAGTCCCTTTAAGGTTCTAATAGAAGTCACTGATGTGCTTCTCCAGTACAGAATGAGTAATTGGATATTCAAGGAGGGTCATTTAAGAGATTCCAGTTGCATAGAGAAGGTCATTCAAGAGGCTCCACATATCACAATAGAGGTTCTAGATGTTATTGAGGTGGTGGTCCTTCAGGGAGGCTGGGTGTTCTTTAAGAGTTTCTGTTGTCATTGTGGAGGTTTTAGGGGTTTAAGGGGGCACTGAGGAGTTGCTAGTGGTCTTTAAGAGAATCTAGTGGCAATAGAAAAAGCCCTACTGCCATTTCTAGGAGGTTCTGGACTACATCAAAGAGGTTTTCTATGTGGCTGTTTTCTAGAGCTAACATCCAAATAACAAATGTGGGAAATCTCTCGGGAGGATGGTTCTTATTTGTCACATGTGTTTTTTTATCTGCGGTATTCAGAGATCATTGAAATGCGAAGAAAATTTCCCATCTATAAATAAACATTTGAGGACAAATCTGACACGAAGCCGTCAGCTCGAGGCCTTGTTGTGATGACATGCCATCCTACTTTTTATGAACAACCACATTGTAGTGAGAGCCTGGAGGCCTGTGGTTTCCTCTGAAGCTTTGTCATGACAGAGAATTCACTTCAGTTAAAACAAGCTAATAGATATGTCATTTTAACGCAACTGGAAAAAAAACACGGCCTTATTCTGTGACTGATGTTTCACCATCACTTGTGTGTGTGTGTGTGTGTGTGTGTGTGTGTGTGTGTGTGTGTGTGTGTGTGTGTACTCACGCTCCTCCAGGCACCCTCACGCTGCCCACTCTGTCACAGAAGCCATGCGCCCAGAGGGTGGGCACATCATCCTCCTGGATCTCCATCTTGTTGCCCTTGAAGTCAGAGAGCTCATACAGGCAGATCTTGTGCTCCAGGCTGTCCTGCAGAGAGGAAACAAAGCACAAGGGCATCGAGAGTTAGTTCTCATGTTACATCGATCATGTGAAAAAATAAATCCTGAAAAGGTCCTGAAAATTCTGGGGTGAGCAGCATGTGTGGACGAGGGTAGCTGAGTTTTTCACTCAGATTTTTCCCAGAATTGTTCCTGCTAGTGTCCTGGAAAACAGTCCCAGTGAAGTCTGGGTGAGCTGACATGAGAACGCAGCACCATATTCATATTCAGGAAAGTTAGCCTTAAGTGGGTGGTGATGTTTATATCCTGCAACAGACACGCGACCAGTGCGATCTCGGTGATAAAATACATTGAATGAAGTGGCACTGATATAAAAGTAAACTGTCATCATCATGTATTGCATCCTGAGATCAGGAGGAAGGTTTCAGGGGCAACCTTGGCTGACATTTTCTTTATACATTTTCAGGAGTGCATGTGTGAAATGCCAAGTTCAAAATGTACTTTAATGGGCACCGTACAGAGGATGAATCGTCTTCTTTTAGATAAAAACACACAAAGCCTCTGCTGTGAACGTCCCCAGAAGAACTCCAGAGAGGAAACTTTTCAGTTTTTTTGATTTATGGACAAAAAACAGAATTTGGCTCTTTATGATAATCGATTCACGGTTTATGACCTTTTTTGAAAGCAAAACGTTTGATGGTGTCACACTTAAATGTGAGGATTTTTCAGCTCCTCTCTGTCATTTGTAAACAGATTGTCTTTGAATCGGCGACTCTGAGCTCTGAGGGAACATACATGAATAATTCTTAAACTATTTCAGAGTTGCAGCTCCAAAATGTTTCTATTTCTGTCATAAAGGGGTTTGTTTTCTTGTGAAATAGGATCTCATACAAACTAAAGAGCCTAGTTTTCTAAACTCTTGATGTGTAAAATGATTTGTAAATCGTGTTTTCAGGGATGGACGCACCATGCGGATGGGCCTGAGGGACATGAGGCAGTCGCTGCGGTAGGAGTTGCTCCAGGTATCCCAGCGAGGATACTCTCCCTTCTCCAGGATGAACATCTCCCCACGGAGGTTAGTCTGCTCGAAGGCAACAAAGCTGGAGGAGGGGGGCCGCCGGGGCAAGGGGGGGGGAGAGGAGGAGGACGGAGAGGAGAAACAAGAGAAAGAAAAAACAATTAAATATATTTGCGAGTAACAGAGGCAAACACACAGAGTCCGCCCGGCCGGAGCTGCTTGTACCAGATGTGTGTGTGTTGACTTACGGGCCGCACTCCACGATGATACTACGCACTTTATCCATGCCACGGTCACACACGTTCATACACTCATTCTGGACCTCGATCATCCTGCCCTGGAAGTTCTCCTGGTCGAACAGCATGATCTGCACAGAGAGGAGACATCACAGGTTAGCCCAGGACTCAGAATCAGAATCAGAAGGACTTTACTGTCTCCTGCTCTGTTATTTTAGAGGAAGCAGTTGACTCTGAACTCCAGTAAAAGTTCTTTAAATCTGCAGCTGCTGTCTACTTTGAGACCAGGAGATAAAATATAATGATCTTAGTGATGTTATCGTAACCTGACAATAAGAAATGCTCGTTTATTATCTCGGTGCATTGCACATTCTTCATGCCCTCATACTGTAAACGTTTGCAAACCCCCCCCTCGGAAATATCTGTCACATTCCTGCAAGACTTCTCCAGCCCTCGTAGTATCCATATCTTCATGTTTTTATGGTTTATTCTATTGAATCTAAGGCGACAGCAGGAGAACTAATGTTTACTTGATTTTTTCCTTTCTTTACTTTTATGCACAAAAACACAAAGAACAAATCTGCATGAATACACTTATTCATTCAGATAAATAAAAGCTCCACCTTAGCCAGCCAAAGCCATGAAATGCATCCTCAAACCTAGCCTAGTGGTTAGTCCGTGTGCCCCATAAATGGAGGCTGTAGTCCCCCAACGGCGGCCCCGGGTTTGAATCCTACCAGCGGCTCCTTTCCTGCATGTCATTCCTTACTCTCTCTCTCTCTCTGTCTCTCTCTGATTTCTGACTCTATCTACTATCCTGTCTCTGCTAAACAGCCCAAATAATTAACCTTAAAAATGAATCTAAGCGTCTGTAGCTGGCGTTTCTGCACGATCGCTGTGTTCACTTTAAACGCTTTTAAGCATTCGTTACAGAATATTTTTTACACAGTTTGTATTTCTGCTGAACATTCACTTAAAGTAAGAATCTAAATACTTCATTAAGTCTTTTGAATGAACGGAAACGAATAAAGCAAAGTCAAAGAGTAACCATAACTTCACAATAACTGTGCTGTCCAGGCTCATCTAAAGTGAGTCTCTGTGTCGACAGCTTAACTCTTTTTTCATCTTTAAATATCTTAAACTTGAGCAGGTAAAACCAAAACCCCCAGAGAGGCTTGTTGGGAGGATATATTTCCTTTATATCATTTGAGCGAACTCTCCCTTTAAATACAACTTTTGAAAAGCAGAAAAGCAGCTTTAGCGTTTGACTCACTCTGTAGGTTCCCATGCCGGGCTCTCCGGTCTTGGTGGCCTTGCTGGAGGCGGCAGGGGCGGGAGCTCCCTTGTCCTTGGCATCGGTGCCCTGGCTGGAGGCGGACTTGGCAGTCTGAGACATGGTGAGGGGCTTCAGGAGAGTCTGGGTGAGCAGAAATAGAGGTGTAAATGGAAGAGGGAGAGAGGTGTGAGTTATCAGAGGGGGTGAAAGTTGGTCTGTTTTTTGCAATTTGGACTAAAGCTGTTCATGTGGGAGGCTTATTTGGGACTCTGACTGGGTCTTTTTCCCCCAGAGTGAGGGTGGTTTTCCTGGGTGTGGAGGGCAGGGCGTTGGCCCTTCGGTTCTGCATGTGTCCCCCCTTGTACTGTCATAGATGTGTGTGTGTGTGTGTGTGTCCTTACCTGCGTTAGTATAGCTTGCTGTGCCGTGTGAGGGAGGCTGGCTCGTGCTGGTCCCGTCAACGCTCGACCCAAGCTTTTATACTCTGGCAAAGGCCAAACGTCGAGGCTCAGCGCACAATAGAAAACCTCTCGTCATCACTGTTGGCCCGCGCCAAAGCCACCGGGTCATCGCATAGCCTAGAAACGCCACCGGCCCCTCTGGCCCTGCCTGTAAGCGTTTTACTGTCAAAGGAAACCACTGACTGAGGCATTTTGTCCGTGTGTTGGGCTGGTGGGGCTGTAAGCTTTAGATGCATGTAGAGAGCAGGAATGCAAAGGTCCAGGATGGGGACAAAGAGATAATCCCTCCTCTATCACCTACACGGGCACACACACACACACACACACACACACACACACAAAACACAACACACACTCTGAAAACAAAGAGCTGCTCATCATCCTTACATCTGGTTTTGAGGAGAAAAACAAGAAAATCCTACAGAGAACCGACAAAAACACACGTTTAGCAAACCCACAAACTTCGCCTGCTTTCAGTCTTTGTGCTAAGCTAGGCTAATTGCCTCATGGCTACAGGTGTGAATTTAACACAGACACACTTATTAATCTTTTTTTCTGTAACCACTAAAAGAAAGTCGACAAGAGTTTATTCCAGACTCTGCAGGCTCTTCTTCCTGTTTTCCTTTTCCTTCTTCTCGTGGTTGGGATGGAGGTCTTTTTGCTAAGCTAAGCTAATTGACACATGGCTCCAGGTTTGCATTCACTGAGGGTCTTCACATGGACTTCGTTATCCCGGTTTGGATCATATTCAGGATCTGGTGTTTACATGCACGCAGAGAAACCCGGTTCTTCACCTCCCTGTGTACATGACAAACACTCACATCCTGCTTTTTGATTACTGCATCCTGTTTGTGCAGGCGCCTGTGATGTTTATTTCTAAACACAAACTGCAGCAAATTTGTGAAAAATGAGACGACTTCTGGTTAATGCGTGAATGAAGACATGGCGTTGAAGATATGACGTATCCTCCTCATTTCCAGCAACCAGAGAAAAGAGCTCCAGAATGAGGCTCATGCTGCCGCCGCCATGTTTGTTTTGCTGATATGTCACTTGACGGAGGCGGCGCCTTTGCAGGTAGTCGTCAGCTGTCAGAAACCGCAGTAAGGCGTCTACATGCCACAGGATCCAGTTAGCAAAATCTGGTATCTCATGATCTGGATATGATGTTCACATGTACAGACACAAGAACTGGATCAAAACCGGGATACTCATGTCCATGTAAACACACTCAGAAGTAGGCCTGGGGGGCGTCGGTGGCCAAGTGATTAGCTTGCAGAGGCAGCAGTCCTCAAAGTGCACGGCCTGGGTTCAAATCCGACCTGTGGCTCCCTTCCCACATTACTCCTCTCTCTCTCCAATTTCCGTCTCTATCCACCATCCTGACTTTACAAAAAAGACCAGAAAAATAAATCTTAAAAAATAAATAAGAAGTAGGCCTAGAAAAGAGTTTATTTCTGGAACACAAGTTATGTTTTTAAAGCGTTGGTGGTAGAAGAGAAAAGCTGCACAGCGGGCACGGTGTCTTAAATGTCTCTAAACTGTTTGCAGCTCTCTGACATAACTTTAACCTGCAGCGCTGTTAGAAATGAGCAGCCGTCTTTGGAGGTGTTTCAGGGTGAGATAAAGGATGTTGTTGTTGTTGTTGTTGTTGTTGTTGTTGATAATTCTGTGATTACAGATGGATTATTTGTCTGGATTAGGTCACCTCAAACCCGATTATTTCCACCGTGGAAGCAGGATTACAAAGTGTTTGATATGTGCAGATTAGGTGTGGACTAATCCCGCCGTGTAATCTGTGCGCTTCATGTCGAGGCTGGGTATCAAATCTCAGCGTTTTGGCAAAATCTGAGGAGCCGGCGTCCAAAAACGACTCCAACGTCCAAAATGAGACCAAACCGATCCAGATTTTAAAAAGACAAAACTGTCAGTGTCGCAGGTTTTTATTCAAGACGTGTTATTATCTGTCCATCCAATGAAAAGTCTCCTTTCATTTTCTGTACTTCCTGGTTTCCTCTCAGCTCAAAGCCCTTTGGTTCCTCAAAGAGACATCTTTAAGAAAAACCTCACAGATGTAAAAAAGAGTCTCAGACTTTTCCTAAAACAGTCGAAGAAAAACAGAATTAAAGTTTGAGTCAAAATAAACATTTTTAAAAATAGTTTAAGGACGACAACAGAGTTTTTATGTTTTAATGAGGACACATTGTTATTTACGCAGAAATCTGGAGATCTCAGTTTGAATATTTCTCAAAATCAGTGCTGTCAAATTATATATTTTTTTAATTGCTGAATCTGAATAGTTGTGAAGATAACATAACATCTCTAACATCTCTGGTTAAATGTTTTTTATTACCGGGAACTATTTAGGCAAACTCCTGCTAGTTGTCTAAACTGCACAAAAACATTGGCAACGTTTCAGTGCCAAAATGTTCCCAACGCTTTTGTACAATTTACAGCGCTCCTTTTGTTTGGCTTGAGGCAGACTGAAGATGTGTTGTTTTTTAAAGGTGACATATCCTCCTCCTCCTCCTTTTCAGTGTAAATAAGTCTCAGAGCTCCTCAAAACATGTGTGTGAAGTTTCTTGTTCTAAATCCACTCTGATCCTGTATTTGATCATGTCTATAAACCCCTCTATTTCAGCCCTGCTCAGAACAGGCTGTTTCTGTGTCTGTACCTTTAAATATGTAAATGAGCTGTGTCTGACCACGCCCCCTCTCTGGAAGGGCTTGAGTGTACTCGATGCTTTCTCTCTCCATGTCCTATTGTTTACGGTGAGAAGGCGGACTCAGAGGGCAGAACAAACACCTAGCTGTGGGAGTGTCACCCACCTGGGGGAGGGGCTACTGCCCTTTGTGATGTCATGAAGGGAAAATCTCCAAACGGCCTGTTTGAGCACACATTTTCTGAAAAGTGGAGCAGGCAGAAGACGGAGAGGATGGACTTTTCTCATCATTGGGGGGTTTGTAGACGGACTAGAGACACATGTTAGAGTTAGAGGAACATGGGAAGAGGATTTTACAGAATATGTGACCTTTAAGGTTCGGTAGCGCTGTGTGTGTGTTACAATACTACAATTGATTTCATCCAAAGTGAAGAACATCCGAGAGTAAGAACAACACAAGCAAGGAGAGAGAGAGGAGGAAACAACGTCAGGAAGTGTAAACAAACAGTTTTAAATATGATTGGACACAACTGGTGCTGACAGGAAGGGACCAGAGACAAAGCACAACGGTGACAGATCATCATGAAGGTGGTAGGTGTTCATAAAGAGCTGGGTCTTTAGCTTTTTCTTAAAGGTGCAGAGGGACTCTACAGATCCAATGGAGTTTGGAAGTTCATTCCACCACCGGGGGGCGACAGAGGAGAAGAGTCTAGTCAGAGACTTAGGACCCTGTTGTGAAGGTTGGATCAGACGCCTTTCATTGGCAGAGTGTAGTGGGGGGGGGGAGTGTAGACCTGGATCAGAGAGTTAAAGTAAGGAGGAGACGTTTCTGTGTCTGTTTTGTAAGCGAGCAGCAGAGTTTTAAATTTGATGTGAGCAGTAACTGGAGGGAGAGGAACAGCGGAGTGACATGTGCTCTTTTAGGAAGGTTGAAGACCAGTCGTGCTGCTGCATTTGTATCATCTGCAGAGGTTTGATAGTGAGCTTAGGAAGACCTGCCAGTACGGCTTTGCATCTAGTTACGGTGCCTTGATGAAATCCTTCCTCCTTGTTGTTCAGTCTGTATCTTATATACTTGAACGTGTTTGATAAGAACACACCAACTAAAGTGAAAATAATCTCACCTCAAGCTAAAACTATTGACACAACTTTGCCAAAAAATATTCCCCGTTCACTAAAAGTTGTTGGTTTTGTGCCTGACAGGCTCAGATTGTTATTCTGAGTGTCTGACATCGTTACAGAAAGGAGTCCTGCAGAGAGAGACCTTTTTTATTTAGGAGTTAAATTCAGAATTTGAATTAAAAAACAGCTGCCACAAAGGCCCGGGTCCCTTATGTGAAACCAACGTTAGAGAGCTACTGTATGTAACCACTGTTGTGTCGTATGCGGTCGTGGGTTTGAATCCGACCTGGCTGTTTGCTGCATGTCGGGCCTTTGTCTCTCCTCCCAACATGTCTCCTGTCTCTCTTCTCTTCTGTCTGTCCTATGAAGGCTAAATGGCCCCCAAAAAAAGCATCTTCTCCTGCGACTAAAAGGTCTCAACTTGAGCCTGTCAGTGACAAAAACCACAACAGTTACAACTGCTGGCTCTGATCTACTGGAACAATCAAACTCCTTTAAAACCCACGAGTCAGATAACCCCCAAGTTTCAAAATAATGGAACTCTTTTGGTAAGGGGCGGAAACATTTCAGTTTACAGTTTGATTTCCATTCAATGGGCCAGAAATCCAAAGTTATTTTTTTGGGCCTTTTATTGGATCGGACAGCTGAAGAGAGTCAGGACATGTTTGGAGGTGAGAGTGGAAGATGAAGTGCAACAAAGGGCCGAGGTCAGATTGGAACCCACGGCCGCTGCTCTGAGGACTATAGCCTCCGTACATTTGGTGCTAGACTCTCGGCGCCCAGAAATCCAATTTGTTGCTGATTTATTATTAACTGGGTTGAATTTTCCAGTGAAATCCCCTGAATGCTGCATCCAAAGGTTAGAGATAAAGATGCTTTACCTGTCAGATTTATGGAAAACTAAACCATTTTTAGTTTGGTTTTGTGTTTGGGATGAAATAACGATCTGAATTCAGAGTCTGTCCTCTTCCTCCTCCACTTGTCCTGCATCTCGTCTCTCTTAAAACGCCTCTGTCTCCGTGTCCACTGCTCGGGGTGGTGATAATGTGGTGTCTGCACTTCTGGCCTCTGCACAGATTAACAACGCTTTTGTCGGAGGGGGGTGGGGGGGGGGACAAAGAAAAAAAAAAAAGGCCCCTCCCTCGCTGCTGAGCCGGTGCTTTCAGCATGGCCCCCTGCCAGGGGAGGCTTTAAAAGGGTGGGGGCGCGTGCCTCCTCTCACTCTCACAGCAGGCAACCGAAGGGCATCAAAGCAAGGTGAGTCCCTGTAGCTGTCCTTCACCCAGCACGGCACAGCGCAGAGCCAGATACCCACACACACACAAACAGCCCTGAACACAGGAGCCCACAGGCCGTCACTGCGGCCCGTGGGGGGAGATAAACGGTGGCGGCGGCAGAGAGGCAGAAATCACCCTCGTCTTTATTTGTGCAGGATGTGAAAATAGAGTCGGGTGCTTTCAGATCGACAACTTTTCATTGGAGCTAATTCGAGGAGCAGTAATTTATTTTATCTCTATTGTAATTTCTTAATTTATTTAATTAATGTAAATATGTTTGTTTTTTAACTTTTTGCTATTTTTACTAATTATACTTCTGTTTTTTTAGCTGTTCTAACAAAGAAATTTCCCCCGATGGAGAATCAATAAAGTTTATCTTTATCTTTAGCAGAGCGGTTACGGTGATTTCAAACTGCTAGAATGGACACAGTTGGTGTTACATAGTCCGCTGGTTATCTGCATAAAATAACACTTGAGTTAAATTGTGATGAAATACTTATAATCCTGGTTTTCTTATTGTGCAAGTCGTAGACTTCAGGCCACTTCTTTCCACGTTTCAGTCGCCTTTCTGTTCATTTTAATGCATTCTTTTTTTGCATTAAAGTTGAACTTTACCTCTCAGACTTTAAAGTCCCTGAAGGTCTTCTTTCAACCATCTTCTGTTTTTTCCTCCTTCCAGACAAGATGACTCACCATTGCACCAAGTTCTCCGGCCACTGGAAGGTGAGTCTGCAGACGGAAACACAGATTCAAACATCGCCTCACTGCAGGACCTTTTGCAGCTGAGAGTTTTTATTATCTCTGAGATGTGATCGGTCCGTCTCTGCCTGAAATGACTCTGACATTTTAATAAAACGTAGAAAGAGCAGAGTTTATCCGCAGCTCAGACAATATTAGGACTCTTAAAAAATACATTTTCATATGTTTTGATGCTAAAATGTGTTTGTCAGGGTGCAAAATAACCGTTTTTTAAAGTGTGACACATTTATAAATCCTGCTGTTTTTTAAAAATGTTTGCATGCCTGTATTTCCCCTTCAGATCATTGTCTTCGACGAGGAGTGCTTCCAGGGCCGTCGCCATGAGTTCACCTCCGAGTGCTGCAACGTGATGGAGTTCGGCTTCGAGACCGTGCGCTCCCTGAGGGTCGAGAGTGGAGCGTGAGTACTCGTAGAAACTGTGAACATGCTCTGAAATATCTGATATCTAAGATCTGTTTGTCTGACTGAAATGCAAAGAGGACGAGCTGAAACTACAGCACACCTCAAAACTAAACGGGAACGCTTCAGTCATTCATGTGGCACGCTTCTGCCTCTTGTGGCTGGAATGTGTAATAACAACAATAACAACAACAAACAAGGACCTGAAAAACATGACAGACAACATATGTCAACATATTAATCAGAAGTTAAAAAAAAAAAAGCGAGGATGAGAAGGTTGAGATGAATGAGAGTTTAGAAAAGATGTTTGTTTTTAGCTCAGAAGATGAAGAGCATAAATAAATAAATTTAAATTTTAAGCATCAGTTTGCAAGGACAACTTTAAAACAGAAATGTATTTCTGTAATTGGAATTAAATTGTGGAATTCTTTAAATAATGATTTGAAGGGTTGTGTTCAGATATTTCAGTTTAAGAAAATATATAAGAGCAAAGTTATCAGACGGTATGAAGTTGACAGTTAGTGTGTTTTCCTTCTTATTTCTGAGGAAGTCAAGACTGAATTGTCAGATTTCTTTGATGATGATTTTCTAGGTGATATTCATTCATTGATTGTATTTGGACAGACCATCCAGACATTTATTGTTTGCTTTTTGAGTAAGAGGGCAGGCAAAACAAGATTTATTCTCCTCCCTGCTCCTTTCTGTACATGGGATAAAGTGTGAATCGTTTTTTCTTTTTTTTTCTGTTGTGTGTTTTGACATGTACAGAACAAATAAAAAAATTAAAATGAATGAATAAGAGACGAGTAAATAATCTTAAAGTCTTAAACACGGGAGAGATCTGTTTTTTTTTCTCTCACTTGCCTCTCGGGGCTTCTGTAGAAAAAATGCTCATTAGGCCGTTCAAAGAAAGAGAAAAAGGATTCTGCATCTGTTAACTCTGAATCTCTCCCCTTGTGTCTCCACAGCTGGGTGGGATACGAGCACGCCTCCTACCAGGGGCAGCAGTTCGTCCTGGAGAGGGGAGAGTACCCCCAGTGCGACGCTTTCGGTGGCAGTAACGCCTACCACATCGAGAGGCTGACCTCCTTCAGACCCATCGCCTGTGCTGTGAGTTCAGATTGTTGTCTCTGACTGGACAAACGGCTGAAATGCTTTGTGTGTTTTCTTTTTGTTTATGTTCCTCCTCTTGCTCCTCCCCCCCTGCAGAACCACAGAGAGTGTCGTATGACCATCTTTGAGCGTGAGAACTTCCTGGGCCGTAAGGGCGAGCTTAGCGACGATTATCCCTCCCTCCAGGCCATGGGCTGGTGCAACAACGAAGTGGGCTCTCTCAAGATC